GAATAGAAGTACGGCATTAGGCTGTTCCTCAGCAAAGAAGATACAGCTATTTTAAGTATCAACTAAAGCTGCTTATTCACAGACTCCCTGTAAAATACGAGATGTTATAGATGAAATGCTTAAAATGGGTGTTTAAGGAAGGCAGCAAACCAAACATTTACATAATCTTTAAATATTAATATTTGTAAATAATACCTGAACATCTGCTAGCTAGAACAAGGTCACTGACATGGAGATAACTCCCTAAGGGTCATAATAAATGCAGTCTATTTTAGATCATGAAGGCTACTTTGAACATCAGCAAAGCAAAAATCTTTGTCATTACCACCGTACCCAATAGCTTGTCTCTAATGGGCTGAGAGCAGGCAAGATGACCATGATTATTGGGCTGTTAATAACACAACTTATACAACATTTGCTTGCTCAGTTGCTCTTTACAAAGATACTTTTTCTTGAAAAATCCTTCACCTTTCTCTAATGCTTTTCTTCCATTTCGCCTTGCATAACCCCAGCCTGCCCTGTCCAGTGGTCGTGGCTGTGTTGGGCTGGCAGCTTGCTGACTGTCCTCTGCAGACCAGCAAGAGTCATCACGGCCACAATAAAGTAGCTACAACCCCATCCTCTTTTAGCTTAAATTCCAGTGGTGAAGTTGTAGACTGCTCCACCAAAAATGTTGAAGGTTAACAGCTGCCCATTATTTCACCAAGTTTGGGAACCATCAGTTTTACAGTATTGTGTTTCTTTATTGTGTAATGTCCCTCACAATTTGCTTATGACATTATTTATGTTTTCCAGAGATGAATTGCCCTTCCAACCTGCACCACAGCATCACAGGCCCAATGCAACGTCACAGGGCTGGACTTTCCATTAGACCATGGTCCTTGAGCTGCTCTCAGAGAGCAGAGATGGTCTTAGGGCAGCAACCAGTTACAGTCACACATGTCCCACAGGCTCCTCTGCTCTGCTTCTGCAGTACAAATGCCTTTTTATCCTACACAGGTCACACCACATCAGTTTGACTGGCAGTGCTGCAGCAAAAAACTGGAAGGACTCACAGTGCATAGCAAATCACTGTGTCTGCCTGATGAATAATAATACAGAAGGAAATATAAGGATTGCCTCTTACCAGACTTCTGTTTTCTTTCCTTTATATTTTTTTTCCATCAGGCTTATCATCTGTCACTAAAAATACACTGCATAATTCTGCAGCTGTGCAAGAACCTGTAGCACCTGAGCTATCTCTGTGCATGTGAGTCATGCTTTCCAAGGCTGAAGCCTCAACAAAGCTGTTGCCATGTTTTGCTCCTTATCACATGCAACTGCAGCACAACTTTGCTAATACCCCACCTTTATCCCAGGTAGCTCTTCAAGATAAGAGATTTTGAGCAAAACATAAAGAAACACCATGTTTTTCCTTTATAAATAGTCAACTTTTCTCTGAAGGCTGTTTGGATATTTCTTAATTCAATAAATGTTATTCCAAGTTTTTAGGCTCTAGGGGTATCCTAATGCCATGATGGGAGGTAGTATGGGAAAACAAGACAAGAGGGAGACTAAAATGCAGGTACATTAGTGCTGGAGGAGTAACCATGTAACTATGTGTGTCTATTTGGTGTGAACCTTTGCCTTCCTCATGGGCTCTGAGACACTGATAAAAATAGCAAAAAATTTGGTCTGTTTACAGAAATGCAGTGAAGTGGTGACACTCAAACCATAAACAAACATCAAAACCTAAACCATCAGCACAGTGGGACAAACCCCCTAAGCTTCCCCAAAAAGCACAGGCATCATGCCCTGACATACATCCCGCTAGGACAAAAAAAAAAAAAAAAAAAAAAATCACAGTGGCCCCCCAGCTATCTCCAGCTGAGTAGAGGGAAGGAGTCCAAGTCTTCTCCCAGAGAAGCGTTGTCATGTCACCCCATCAGACCCAGGAGCCAGCAGGTCTTTTGGCCAGAGTGGTGACACCAAGGAGAGAGGGGTGCTTCCAGTCTGTCCACAACAGTCATTCAGAAGTCACCAGCCAAAATGCAAAAACTGAGTCTGACTTAGCAAAAAAAAAATCTGAAACCACAATATGGTACCCTAACATTCAGTGATTTGGGTTTCTAAGATTTTTGAGGCACGTGCTTTGAGGTTTTTCGTTGCTACCTATAAGACTAGCAAGATTCCCTCTCTGATGCTGACACTGTTTTTTGCCTGCTGAAGGGAAAGCCTGCTCCCTTCCTTTTGGGACCAGCAGAGTTTGTCACTGACCTCACTGTCTGGGAAACCAACTCTATTCAACCTTGAGTTGGTTTTAACCTCTGTGAGCTGGCTATTTTTCCTCTGCTTTTTTCTATTCCCTCGCATTTTAATATGACGAAATATAGCTTGGATGGCCAGCCTCTGTAAGACTGGTATAGCAGTGACAGCTGTCTCATCAGCTGGCAAAAGGGAAGCATCTGGGAATCTCCTTCCCACTGCTATAATTTACAAGCCATGCGTGGTTCTGTCCATTCAGTACCTGCAACTGCCAATGATTCATACTGTATCTGTCCTAGGGGCCACCAGCCTGGTGTCCTGTGCGCTTTCAAAGCTGAGCCTGCCTCTGCACTTTGCTTCTCCCCTCTCATTTGCTCCAGGAGAGCTGCTGGAACGAGCACACTCACCTCCCCACATGATTAGGGATGATCTTCAGCACTAGAAACCCCATCGTCTCTTCTCTGAAGGAAAAGTAAGAATTCCAGCACAGACACCAGCTTGGCAATAAGAAGTGAAAATGATTATAAGAGGAAAATGTATATGCAGCCAGATTATTATATGACAGTGGTTCCTATCTGAATGTAAGAGACTAATAAAATCAAGAAAAAGTTACTTCTCCAGAAGGAACCACAGGACCTTTCCACATATGTCTCTTTTAAGACTATGGGGAGGGAAGAGAAGGACAGAGGAGCTACAGGATTGGAAGTAGAGGGAACCCTCTGAGCTTATAGCAGGACAAGGCATGCCTGGTATTTAGGGACATATATGTACGTTGGTGAACTCACTTAACAGAGCATGATATCTACTTCTCAGTCTAGCCTTCTGTTAAGAAAGATGAAGCATACCAAATCAGCAACCCATCTTCATGTGTGCCAAACCATCTGCAACCTCCTGCCCACTCTCAGAAGACAACATACAACATACTGACACAAATAATTGATACAGCATCGCTGTGCTGGGCAAACCATGTGGGATGGCACATGATCACCAATATCTATGACGGAACAGTGTGCCAACAACGTAAAGCCAGACTGAAGGCAGTGGTTATCTAGCCAACATGTCACAAATCCAGGCTTTGCAGACAGTACCTGCCCTCATGGTCAACAACATGAGACATGCTCGAGAAGATCAGAAGAATGGAAAAGAGAAGCCTAAAAGTCCGGTAAAAAAACCCAAGACCAATAAATAAACAGCAAAATAGGAGATCAAGCCAACAAGAAGGCTGAGTGGACAAACCCGACAGCAACTATCTCCTCCTGGAGCCAAGAGAACGTGCGTCAGTCCATGAAATCAATCTCACAGTTTCTTGGTTTTCATCTTTCAGAGGTCATATACCTTCCCAAATCCACCCTGTTGGAAGGCTCACTTTCCAAAAGAAGCAGCCTGGCAGGAGAGGAAATACCAGCGATAAGCCATAATCTCCCTTTCCCTAACCAGAAGGTGGAGCAGCAGTATCACTGTCAAGGAGATACCCATCTGGAGCAAGTGAGAGGCCTGAAGGCAGCTCATTCAGCTTCACTTTTACAACCGATTCAGAAAGGAGCAGGCGTGCCCAGTGCTTCCAGAGCCAGCTCCCAGATCTCAGCCCTGAGCTTCAGCTGCACACATGTGCTTGTCAGATGTGCTGGCACCAGCCCCAGGGGGATTTGTCTACATTCCACTCAGAGGAAAATTTAAGGGAAACTACTCAACTCTAGAAATAACAGATCAAGTTTACCACTGACGATCAAAAGAGTTGCCTCCAGCAGGCAGGCTGGACTGCAACCTGTTAGTAAATTACAGTGTGTCGGGGAGAAAAAAACACTGGTGATGACACATTTTGGACTCCGGAGTTTGGAGAAATACAAATTGTGAGTATCGGGACAGCACTGTGCTGTCACATCAGCACATCTGCACTGTGGGGTGAGAAACACCTTTCCAGCTACTCCACAAACAGGCAGGTCAGAGAAGCTTTGTTCTACGGACTAGGTGCATAATACGAAACACCCCAGTGGCCCACCAGCAAGGGAGAAGTTGCACTTCATTCTAGAAAACTGATTGACAAAGGATGCAGTGTTAGCTATTTAGAAAAAGCTGATGAAAACACTGCCCTTAGCTCTGGAAGGGCTTGGTTATTGACGTAATCAGAAGAATGATTTCCGTTCTGGTATATCAGCACATTTTTTATTTAGGTACTCTCTTACCTGTTGCAGTGGTGAGCCTAGAAAGATCAGGCAAGCATATTCCTGTAAATGGGTATGACAGAACATATAAACGAAGGTGATGGAGGCCTTCTTTCCTGCTCCGTTGCTTTAGAGTGTTTGAGACAAGATTTTAGTTGAACAAAAATACTCCATTTTCTCTTAGCAAGGATGGGATGTGATCTACCTAACAAATTCTTTAGTTTGCAATTTGATTACATCAGCTTAAAATGTCATTGCAGCTTCACAACTACAAGTGAACGTTAACACTTGCACCTTATTCATCTTCCCAATAGCGAAATACTTACTGGGAGGGTTTGTCCTGAGGTCTGGGGAGCACTAGCCAAAAAATATAGCCAAATTCAGCAACAAGAAGGAGTGTAGGGGCTGTACAAAGGCTTATGAGGTGAGGATGAGGCCTCTCCAAATTGTCTTGAATATCTCCTGAAACCATGCAAGTTCTTTCCCTTCACTAGTGCATATGGCCAGAGGCGCTTTTTTAATTATTATTACATGACTAATGAGACGATTTTTAATCAGATGAGCACGAAAACAAGCAAACCGTTTTATTCTCACCTCCAAAAGCCGGCCGCATGGTGAAGTCATGGCTGTTGACTCTGAGAAGCCGCTCCGTCTTTCCTTTCCAAGTTTTGGTCACGTCACGATTCTTCTCATAGATGCGACTGCAACACACAGCAACAGCGTTGGTCTGGGGTCCCTGCGGCACTGGGCGGCCGACGCCCGCCCGCCGGCCCCATTTCGGAGCCGCAGGAGCGGCGGCCCGGTGGGCCCAGCCGGGCGGGGGGGAAGCGGGGATGGCGCCAGCACCGGGGCGTAGGCCAGCACGGCAGGCCCAGCGCCCCTTCTCCAACAGCATTAGCTCGGAGCTGGCCCCCGCGGCGGGCAGCCCTGCCGCCTCAGCCGGCTCCGAGGCCGGCACGGCGCTCTCGCCGCTCCGCAGGCCGTGGCTCCCGGGGCGCCGCGAGGCCCGGAGCGCGGCTGCGGCAAGCGTGACGGAGCAAGCAGCAGCAGGAGCAGCTGACTCGGCCCCACACGTTACCCAGCCAGGACTTGGCTGGGTACCGAGGCGCCGTTATCACAAGAAAGCTCTTTTCGAAGGTGGTCGTGCAACGTCATATGGTATTCTGAGACTATCTGCCCCACGAACACCAGCTGAGTACCGGCAGTTTGCGTGGGCAGAGGGCTCGCTTCGCCTTTTGACTTTTAACAATGACAAAACCACCCTCCACAGCAGCGGGAAAATAGCTGTTTTATCCAAAGTCAGCAAGATCTGCAATCCTTCACTTTTCTGAAAATTAAGGGAGAATAAGTCCTAACTTTCTATTTAAGAGATCACACAACACTAGAGCAAGGATGACAACAAACCCCTGAGAAAAGTGTAAGAAAGTCACTGAAATGGCGTAAGTGGGTAACTAAACAGCAAACAGGCATATACTGCGTGGACTTTCAGAAGAAAATCCAGATCAGCATCCCTGGTGTTTCCCAGTGGTGCAGTAAGGAGGACTTGGATCATTAATATTCCTCAACCCCTTTGCTCTGGGCATAAGATCTGACAAAGTTGTAAATACTGCTGCAATTAGCTGTTTGTCAGCAACTTACTAATAAGTAGAAAGAACTTTATACAAAAGGGTTGAGATTCATTTGGCTGCGTGGGAGAAATATCACTGGCCAGTAAAGAACAAAAATATTGGAGGAAAAATAAAGGAACTACTCTACTAGATACAAATATGAAGGTGAATCAGGCTTAAAATCTTGGTCAAAAATTCAGAGCTTAGAAAACCATCACCACATGCAGATGTGTGGCCGTGAAAGGGCCGTAGATGTGCTTTGGGGTCATAAAAATATAAATGATGATGAGTATAAGGAGCATAAATCACAAATCAGAAGAAAAATTTCCCATCAGAGCAGTCAATTCAGAAAATAAATGATAAAACCTAAGGGTTGTTGCTGCTGCTAACATTGATAACCTCTTTACTTTAATAAGGAGGTGTAAAAGAAGCAACAGAATTTTAAAAACTGTATTAAATGGATGTTTTAAAGGAATACAAACCCTTGTGCTCCAAGGTACAAGATACATAGGAAAATTTTGACCCCCTCACCTCACTCTGGGCTCCTGTTTGAATCGGGGTGTTGGAGCATCTCTCTCCCTGCTGGCTGTAAAACAAGACCCAGCTGGAGCAAGTGCACCCCCAACACAACTGCATTAATATTTACCTAAAAGGAGGGGTATAAACCCAAGAACAGCCATTAATGGGAATATTTGGAGGCAAAAGTTTAGCTTTTAACTGCTTGCTGCAAGGGAAGGTTGTGTTTCTTTGCAAAGGTTAGGGCTGCTGACAAAGGGCTCCACTTTGCAGCCTGCAGTGTTGCCTCTGCTCCTTCTGCTCCTGAAAAGCTGGAAATGGAGAAGAATGATCTTTCTGTGTCTGCTTGACTTTAACCATCAGGGAAAGGCCAAAGTACCAGTGAATGTTCAATCAAACCTGTCTCCTCGAAGAAGGGGGGGAGGGGCGTGAAATGAAATTAAAAATCCAATAAAACTTTGTATTGCATGCTGTATGAGAAAATAGCATGGAAAACCCTGGCAGTATTACAATGCCATCTTGTGAATCGATGGCACAGCCTCACTGAAATGCCAAGCTCTGATCAATCCATTCAAAAATCATCAAACAGCAAATATCACACAGGAGAGTTGCTAAGAACAAGTCTGTGGCTGCAGAGGTTTCAGAGGGCTGGCTGGGGTCACTGCCTTAGGAAGGAAATAGAGGTTTTCAGGAACTTCCTGAGCCAGGGGTTGCATTTAAAAGCCAGCATTTAATCATCAGTTCGTGCCCAATCCTTCAAGTGCATGACAAAAATTCAGAATTTACAGACAGAGGTCCGTCATTTAAATTTTAATCAATTTAATTCAATCATGAAGATTTTGTATAGAGCTATTTTTAATGACAGGCAGTCTACGCAGCCTGCATTTGAAATGTATAATAACTGCTTTTGTCAATTCAATCCAAAAGCAAGTCCAAGTTTGTCTGAAAAAACCCTATTCTTTATAACAGTAAGTGACATCAGCTATGCTGGTATCTCCTCATCCTCTCTGGCAGGTATCCCAAGGCAGCCTCACCACTGTTTGGCACAGGAAATATCTCGCTCTCTGCAGCAAAGGTTAATACAGTCACCAGTGCCTTTGCAAAGCTGAAGGATGCACTGAACACTCCTGCCCATCCGGCGCCTTTACTGACAATCTGATCACTGGTATCTCATAAATCCTCCCTGATGTACTTATGGTCTTTAGCACTTCAGATTATAGATTTGTCAGGGTTTCTTTCAGCTTTATGCACTCTCTGCAATTTACCACTATTCATTTAAATCCACCCATCTCCCTTTCTCGTTTTTGTCATGTTTTTTGTATGTGATTTTATTGCTGTTTACACTTCACTCAAGTGGGATGAGTTTGATAAAACTGTCTTTTGTGAGGAATTGTTCCTGTTTACAGAAAAGAGAAGGGGACAAGTATCTCATTGAGCTTCTGTAAAGGCTTCTCTACTATTGCCCTAAATTTTTTTTTTAGATTTTCCTGGAGCCTTCTCTTCTCCAGGCTGAACAACCCCAACTCTCTCAGCCTGGCCTCACAGGGGAGGGGCTCCAACACCCTGATCATCTTGGCAGCCTCTTCTGCACCCACTCGAGCAGGTCTGTGCCCTTACATTGGGGGTTCCAGAGCTGGACACAAGACTCCAGGTGGGGTCTTACAAGAGTGGAATAGAAGGGAAGAATCACTTCCCCTGACCTGTTGGCCACACTTCTCTTGATGCAGCCCAGGACACGGCTTTCTGAGCTCTGAGCACACATTGCTGGCTCACTGTCAGTTTTCCATACACCAATACCCCCAGGTCCACTTCCACAGGGCTGCTCTCAATCCACTCATGGCCCAGCCTGTATTTGTGCTTGGGATTGCCCCGACCCATGTGCAGGACCGTGCACTTGGCAATGCTGAACTTCATGAAGTTTGTGTGGGCCCACCTCTCAAGCCTGTCTCTCGGGATGGCATCCCTTCCCTCCAGCGTGTCGACCACACCACACAGCTTGGTGTCGTCGGCAAACTTGCTGAGGGTGCACTCAATCACACTGTCCATGTTGTCAACAAAGACGTTAAACAGCAGTCAAAATCTTACCACGCTTCAGTATATTCTCTGGGAAAAAAAATCCAAAATGCATTAGTTGAAGGTGTCATTTACTTTGTGTAGCAGCCACAGCAAGCTGGAGGAGATGCACACTGTGTAAACCCGGCACCAAGAAAGGTGAAAAACCTGCTGTTTTTCTAACCAGCAAAGCATGTGACTGCTGCAAAGACCCCCAAGAGGGTAGATGAAAAGGAGAAGGTACAGTAACAGTTTATGACTGACAGCAATTAACTTGCTCTTAGGTGAGCATTCCTCATTATGCTCTGAGTGTATTCCACATAGATGTGCATCTTTACTATTAATGTACATGGATCACACGGGATCAGATATGGTCGAGAACTTTCTGACAAGCTGGGAACCTCAAGGGCCTTGATTTTGGGGAAGTCTCCTTCCATCACCTGTCAGGGCCACCAATTCAAGGGCTTGATGAGTCCCAGCTGCACAAGTGGCCCCGGTAGCTCCACAACAAGGCAGGTCTATCCTGGTTCACATGGATGGCCACACCAGTCCCTCTTGTTTCCAGAGCTGCAGGGGAGAGGGACTCTGTTGCCCTACATCTGGATGTAACGTGCTCCACACTGACACACCTGTGGCATTACGAGTGGAGCAGGAAGGAAAGCCAAGTGACTTTCCTTGTCAGGTTTCTAGAAAAAAGTTAAATCAGACTCTGGAAAATGATGGTCACAAAGTCAGAGGATGCCCACAATCACTGTTATCATACACATTAGGAATCATTCATGGTCACATGCCCAACACACCTTATCATCTGTTGCTTAGGACCCTCCATTTTTGCTTGGTTTTTGTAATGTATGTTTTTAACCAGAAAAAGAAAAAAAAATCTATTCTATGGTTATTCATGTTTTCAGCTTATTAAAGGTGAATGCAGAATACATTTTCTTCACAGCAATAAATGGAGGCTCTTTTTCACCAAGTGTATCCCAAACCCTGCACTCCATGCCTTTTCCTACATCCATCCAGCCCAAATCCAACAACAGAAACATAAGTAGATGGCAACAGGTCTACCGAAGGGACCCAGAGGGGGCAGTTCTGCTGAAAAGGCAGGAGGAGACACGATGGTCGACGAGACAGCACTGAATGCACGCTGGCTGGTGAGGAAGCAGTGTTGAGGCTCTAAACATCTCACAGTCTACATGGACAACCACACAATTACTACACACTCATTAGTAGCAGCAGCAGAGAAGTTATATTGGTAAACATGAAGACACGGAGCACACGGCCAAGATATGGCATGAGGTTTGCTTCTCAGATCTGCTGTAGCCATTTGCGTGTGTGCGTGTCGCTCCCTGAGTTTGTTTCACATTGTTATTTGGCCCCGCTGTGACGCTGCAGTGACGGTGAGACATCAGACCTTGCACAACTAGAAGCTGTGCAATGCACTGGATTTGAACCCCATGCTACCAACACACCTGTAAAAAAAAGCGGTTATCAACATTTTAACAGCTGAGCCACTTAGAAATACTGCATTTTCTGAAAAACCACCATACAGCTGAGAGGATCAATAGGGACTGGGAAGAACTACAGGCCAGAAGACATGTCTGCAGCACCTGGTCAAAAGTTGGAGAAAAAAAAAATGCATCCCTGCAAGGCAACAGAGGGAGCATGCCTACCAGCTGCAGCCGTTTTAGCAGGGATGAGCAGACTACTCACCCCAACGGATCTGTTTGGAAAAAAAGCCCGAGTGCTGAGCCTTGTGCTGCCATGCTCCAACACTCTACTTCTGCTTCTGGGTCCCAACCTAGGGCTGGCATGTAGCATGTCCTGAAAATTACATCTCTGATGAGGTATTCCAAATCACTGACCACTACCAGAAAACGTGGCGGGAAGTCTTTAGCTAACAGAAGCTCAAAGTCACTTCTATTTCAAAAGCGCGGTGTTCCTGCTGGCTGAAGCACGAGGCTTTGCACAACTGATAGCAGAGAGGAATAAGCAGACTTGGAGCCAGACTGTGTCTGTCTGCCCAGTGCCGAGACCACTGGAAACAATTACCACTCACAGGCACAGTCGAGACGGCCAACGTCTCCTGAGCCCTCCCTTCTAGGACAATTTATGTACGGTGATAAACATTACCAGAGTCATTATCAGCAATTGTTAGTGAGCAATAAGTATTAACAAGACCACTGTTTTTCAGAGTTTATCTTTTTCTGTGTGGAATTTCCGGATTGATAGTTGAGAAGGACAACCAGGATTTGTTTGCGGTTCCTGAGATGCAGCCACCGCAGAGCTACCAAAGAGTACCCCAAACAGTTTCCAGTCCAGTGCTGGACACAGCAACAGCACTTGCTTGGCACTTACAGTAAGGCTGATGCTCCAAGGAAGCTACAAGCACACATACGCATGCACTGTACAGTCAGTACTACACATCACACGTCTGACAGCTCCCTGGAAAATCCCAGCCAGCAACACGGCAGCACAGACCATGGCCCATCTGACACACACCTGCAGCTTTCCACACTTACACCAAACACTTTGGTCCTTCAGTACCAAAGTCTTTACCTCCTCTCTTGAAATTTATTCCCTGGTGTGTCGGTAATGCTGGGGCCAATATCCCCTGCCCAACAGTCACCCAGGTGACTTCAATGGGTTTTACTTTGCAGTTCATTTATCACTTGATTTCCCTAAAACAGAAGGAAATGCAAAATTTTTTAACCAACAAATCTTCTGTTAGCTGTAAGTCCTTGCTTTCGCGAACCATTTGCTAGCTTGTACCTCAGCAAAAAGGCTCTTAGCTTCATACAAACAGGTGTCGCCAAATCCCTTCACACAGTTTTGTAAGATAAAAGGCAGGGAGCATATCCCTGGAAAATGTAAAAAAACCTACCATCACATTACAAAGCCAGGAGCTGCTACTCAAGGAGCACACACTGATACTTCTATGCAAAGCCTGGGCTCTCCGGAGCATAACGTGACACTGCTCCAGGCAATGGTCAACGCCACTGCTGCACGGAGGCAGATGCTCCCGTAAGTCATACCTCTGTTTTGGACAAGAGCTGCATTATCAGCGAGGGGGGTGTGCAGGAGTAAGAGAAAATGAAACATGACGCGGTTTCTAATTAAGCGTTACCCATTCAGCACGCTGAGGCACCGCTCATAGGACAAATAATGCATCACAGTTCACTGTTAACTAATTAAGGGGAGTAATAAAGGGTGCACAGGCAACACTTAACATGGCATTTCTTCATTTGGGTGGCTAACTCCACAGCCCTAGCCCGGCTTCGGCATTTTCCTTTCCCACGAAGGCAGAGGCTCAACCCCTCCGTGCACGCTCAGCAGGCGGCTGTCTCGGCGCCTGCAGGACGTTACCCCAGCCAAGCCCGCGGAGCTCCGGGCGTCAGAACCTCTCTACAGCACCCACGCTATGAATTACAAAACTGAAGATGTTCCGCGCTTGCACGACCCAAGCTAGCTTCTTGAAATCAACACAGAGACCTTGAGGTCAGGTTGATGTATCACCTTAAAGGACACAAACTAGCACGCTTATCCAATGTAGATTCCCAAACATAGCAGTAAATTTTCTTGGCTAATATGTTTACTGAAAAATTTACTGTATTTCTTATGGCAAGCCAGCAAGAGAAATACTAAGCAGAAAATGTGATGAAATTATTAAAAAGGACACTCTTTTCACTTATTTTACATGATTAGAAAACCAGCACAGGATCTGGTTTTAATTTCCTTTTACTAGAAAAGTCCACTAGTCATTGCTAGTTTAGAGACAACAGTATTTTTTCTATGTAACTGGAAATTTACAATATCAATGTCACTGCTCCATACACTCTTTTCTTTTTTTTTTTTACCCAGTATTGCAGAATTCTCTGTATTTAAAATGTCATTCACATTTGATAGTTCATAAATCCTGATTTTATATACTTTTAAATAAGTACATTGAATAGGAAATATATGTGTGTGTGTATATAAGGCATATAGTTCCTCGTGTTCTACCTGGCTGGAAAACTGTTCATTAAAATAATTATTGCATAGGAAACCAAACAGTATCAATTATTCATTACGGTAAATTAATTTATATAAATAATTTTAGCAGTGCTTTGACTTCCACTTTATCACAGCTTCATTAAAATAACAGCACTGTAGAAATTGTAAATTATTTTCGCAGTGATTAAATGAAGTACAAAATATTCAAACAACTTTTATCCCAGAGAATGGCACTGCTTTTGGGCAAGGTCATGTTTTAAAAGAAGGATTTATGCTATTTAGTTACTCTGAAGTAGATGATCACTATTACATGCGAATGGTTTCTAAGAAGATGCTACTGTTGAATCCCCTGCATTTCCCAGAACATAGACTTGGAAAAATTTTCAGTTAAAGATCTCATTCAATAATGGAGATTCTGTGGAAATCAGTGGTAAAACTTCAGTTGGCTTTAGGATTTCAGGATCAGGCCCTAGCTGTTTCAGCTTTGTAACATTTACGTCACTAAAAGCATATGCTACTGTATTTTTTCAGTAAGTAGTATAAATCTGAGAGCATGTTAGGTATTCTTTCCTTTCAAGTATATCACATAAAATGCTCAAGTAATACCATTCCCTACAAAAATGTTGAGTGTTAAGCCAAAAAACCCCAACAAAATAAATGAAAAGATGAACGTTTACAGCCATAGTGAAGCCATTTAATTAGACGGATTAACCCAATTTTATTTTTGAGCCCTCTGAACAATGAACAGTCTTGTAAGATATAACTGCCACTGCATGACATAACTACAAAAAAAAGGATAACATACTTTGGACTGTCTGACAGGTTTGGAAGATTATCTTTTCTAATGCAAACCTCCAGTCAAATCTCAGCAACAGTAAATCTAATAAACTTTACTAAGATCTTTAACTCTTTCTTGTACCTTTGCTTGACTTTAAAATATATATTCTTTTAAAAGTTTACATGTACTTCTTCAAAATATACTTTTAACTTTACAATCCCTGGGTAACTTCCAGGGATTTATTTGTTATTAATTAGTATAATGCATGCTAACCAACATTCCCACCTCAAATTGCCAGAGAATAACATGCAATTTCAAGCGAACATAAGTAGCACAGACATTCCAGCAAGCAGGGTAAACAGCCTGCTCTTGAAACACTGCAGAAACAGTATGCAGATTTGAACATCTCTGTTAATTGCTACTTCTCTGAATTCTCTTGGTAATTCACACATAGGGCCAAGAATATTTTTGCCACAGTCCATGCTGAAGTGGTCAACCTCTCTGCAAAACCTGCCTCAGTAAGCGTTAATTAACATCAGCATTAAATGCGTCCGTTTACAGTTAAAACCAGTTATACTACCAGGGACTGTTATAAAAACATTATCTATAAAGGTGTTTGCACATGCAATATACACAAAGACACTGTCAGGGCAGATTTTTATGTCTGTGTAGTAATGTATTTATAACTCTCCAGGGAGAGAAACGTACGTGTTTTAATCACCCTTACCTTGCCCTCTGCACCTCCAGCTGGCCTGTCCACCTCCTCCTCCTGTGCTTTCTGCTTTCCACAAGAAGAGCTAAGCAAAAGATTAATAAAAGGAGCTTTGCAAAACAAGGCATCTTGCTGGAAGCAGGAGTCGGGCACTCTGCACTCCAGTAACCTCCTGCAGCACAAGTCCCCCCGGGTTTACACATTGAATCAACTCCGATTCCGGTGTCGCGTGTTCAGCGTCAGCGGTCGGTGGTAGAGACGCTGCTTCCCCGACGTGACGTGACGTGTTCGACAGGTTTTCAGGGGCTTCTCACTCCAAGCTTTTCCCTCATCACTGCTTAATGATTGGACATTACTCGCAAAGTTTGCCTCACCAAACATTTCCACTGGGTCCTAAAGGATGTTTGCTAAAGCCATTATATAAAAACTCGCAATTCTGCACGCTAGCTTTTTGCTCAATCCTCTAATCTCAGGACCGTGCCATCCTCCTGCCAGCCTGTGTAAAAACAGGCTGTCCCTTTTCATCAGGCTTTCCAGATTTTCTGTTCCTTCACATGGCATCTTTTTCAACTGGAAACTGCCTGTGCCACGTTTCAGACACATCTATCACTGTAAAATGTACATATTTTGATGGCTTTATAGCAGTTGAGATTTTATTTTCCAGTTCAGTCTGGCTCTTTATGCTGTTGAAGATGAAAGATGAGCTATTTCCTCTGAAAATGATGATTTTAATTACTGCTAACTTTGAAAGGAAAATTAAAACACTGTAACCCCCAAAGTATCTACACATGCAATGGACTCCGTACATAAATCAAGTCACCATTAGCATTTATTTTTTCAAATAGGTATTTGCACAATCAGGCATTTTAACTTTTAAAGTCTCAAATAAAAACGAAGAGCTACGAAGCAGCTATTTCTTTAACCACAGCGGAAGAGGCTGTTTGCAGAAACCCCTCGAAGCTCCCTTGCTCAGGGCCCACGCCAGGGGCCCCACCGCCTGCCCCTCTGCAGGAGACGCAGCCGCTTCACTCACAGCCAGCGGGCCCCACGGGTACGAGAGCAACGGTTTGCTTGGCGCAGCAGCGAGGCTCTAGGAATAAAGAAAAGCACATTCAGAGCAAAACTTCCATAGGAGCAAGCGGGGCAAAACCCAGCAAAGCTGTCTTTTTGGGTTAGATCTCTTCCAGAACTCTCTTCTGTGAGCCCCGGTTTGCAAGACCTGAATAGAACAGCTATTCGGGCAGCATAAACTAGGAAGAACAGTACTTTTACTTTAGATGCTACAAGATCTGGAGAGGTTTTGGGGGGTTTTGGTGTCGGTTTTTCTTTGGTTTTGTGTGGGGTTTAAATTTCTAATGAAATAAATATACAAGTCAGTATTTTTATATGTGTATATATAAATACACATATTACTATAGACATCAATTAATATATTGACACAAAATTGTTCTGCAGCAGAATGTGTAAATAATTGCTGAACTGGCTGAACAAACTACATGCTTTTGGTTGAACTTCTTAAGAAAACTATTTTTTGATCTTTGTTCCATTGCACCTGCAAACAAGATTATCAACAATCCACAAGAGAAGTGTTAAAAGCAAACTCAGGTTTTGTTTCTTTAATTTTCACACCCCCCTTAGACACACAATGGGCCTTCCTTATTTTAGAAGTGGTTATAGCTACTTTAATGTTTCAAAACACTAATACATACTATATTTAACAAAATTTAGGAAGGCTGTACGTAGCTTGATAAATACTTGCTGAGAAACAGAATGGGAATCTCACTTAGGTCAGTGCTATCATGTTGACAGAATTAAATTAAAGTTAGCTAAATGTCATTGCCTTTGACAAAAACATGCTAGAATACATTTAAATCTGAACAATAATACAAAAGGAAAATTATCCCACTGATTTCTTTCTTTTCCTACACTGCAATACTTAAACATTCACGGATAAAACCTCTCAAAACCTTAACAAATGCAAATCTATTGCTTGTATATGTGATTTCACAGCATTCATGACTATTACCGGTTATTTTTTAATAAACGAATAATAGAGAAACCCTCTGGGTCCAATACTGAATTTAGGTTTAAAAAACCTAAACAAAAAAATGGAAATGGAAAAAATGGAAACAAACAAAAAAAAACCAAACCACAAACAAAAAGCAAAACACTATGTGATACTTGAAACATAACTGACGACTGGCTTGAAACTGTTTATTACTACCAGGGTTTTAATAAATATTTCTCTTAAGCATGTTCATATATATATGACAGTTTAGGTATAATAAGGTTTAAATTTTCTTTAGTAAATAAAACCACATATGAAACTTTCAGTTTAACACATTATGTATATTTCTGGTATAATTAAAAGACAATAGCTCTGGGTAAATAATTATATTACATATTTATAACTATTGCAAGAATAGACATGTTTTATATAATCTTCAATTTAAAAAACAAAACAAAACAAAAACAAAAAACAAGATATACAATTGAGAGTATTAGAAGAGGACTTTCAAATCTTGCAAAAGATTATCCAATCTTTCTTCCAAAAAATGAAAATCAAAATAACGCAAGTAGTTTTCTGGCCCCTTCTTTCCTCCTCCACCCCCTTACCCCTTTCACACACACAAAGCAGCATCACAACCAATTCATATATGTGTGTTCCCCCTCTAGAAATGTCTCATGGTAAATTAAAGTGGTTACAAAATGTATCCCTTCTAAATTAAGAGTTCACTGGACACAAACACATAGTAGTGTTTAATTTTATAATTTCTTATCCAATGTCAAATCTTGTACTAACTTAGAAGGGGTGATCAATTGCATTTACGTTCCATAAAAAAGTGAATCAACAACTTCTTTTAAATTGTCTTTTTCTAGTTGATAAATTACTCAAATTGACTCTCCCCCACACATGCCTTAATGTTACTATGCCACTGCACCTTTTCTCCAAGTATCCAGTGGGCATTCAATTAACACTTGTAGTTAAATGTCCAACTTTGCTTTTCTTACAAGTAATGCATCTGTAGGTACATTAACATTCATAAGGATTTAAGCGTAAATACAAAAAGTAATCTTTGTAAACAGTTCTCATGTCATACCCAATGCAGAACGCTCACCGAAGCATTCAAGTCACTGCTGTTACAACAACCAACCTTATAACTCAAATATATACTCGTTAGCCAAACATATTCTACGAAAGATAAGGGCTGCCAATGCAAAAGTCAGAAGAACAATGAGAACAGTTGATCCAGTGTGGTTCATGTTGACTCGTGGTTGCTGCACCCGATTGAAGTCAGTCGAAGACGGGGCCCGTCTCTGGCTCTGCTGCTGGGCACGGCGCTGCCGAGGGCTCAGAGATGTGTTAGTGGACGCAGGCGGAGTATGCTCTTGGCTGGCTGCTGTGCTGCTGTTCTGAGTTTCAGACTAAAAAGGAAACACCGAGAGTTGAGAGGCAAGACAGTGCGTGAGACGAGCAAGGAATAAAATCAGAAGGAGTAAAATATACTCTTCACGTAATAGTTAATACTTGAAAGACTGATAATACATGTGGCTAGTTTTACATGTGGATTGTTACAGCCATCGGTTTTGTCCATACGCTATCTTGAGAAGGCAGCTATTTCAAGCTGCAAATTAGCAGTTCTAAGGACAAGAAAAGTCTGAAGAAAGTCTGCCAAACAGTATTTGAACTCTAGATTGGTTCCAAATCAAGAGATTTCAAATATCTTTGTCTAGGATTTGCTTAACTCTTTGCAGTTCAAGAAATTGTTAATAATCCTCTGAATAGTTAAGTTCCTGAGGATTTGTAATGTCACCTATACTGAAAGGGAAACAAGTTCGGGAGGGCAAGAAAGGAAGGAGAGAAGTCCTGAGAACTGCAATTGAGCAATGCTGCTCTGCTTCCTGTGGGCAGCTGGGCCCAAAAGCCTATCCTCATCACCACCAACACCACTGGAAAAAAACAACACAAAAATCCCAGACACAAAACACTTAAGTGATCCCTGCACGAATTATTGAGCACTGTACTTATGCATGCACATACCTATTGCCCTCTACTGGTCAAACGTTGGTCTACCATTATATGTAGTAAAAAAAAAATAAACATTGACAAGTGATGCTCAGCTCAGGAGAGTATTATTCTAAAGAAAATAATTTTTCAGTTTGTAATATCGAAACTATGGGTTCTGTTTCTCCACCAGCCTAATTCTGCTTGCTATACTAAAAGGCTCAAACTTTCAGCATTTTAATATTTAAATAGTGACAAACAACAGTTGTTGGAAATAAACATTCTGACAAGGTTCAATTTTCAAGTGTTTTTAAAAAAGTAGCTCTGACAAGAAGTTATTTTTTTGAAGTCTTCACTTCTCAGAACAACATGCAGGTATCCCCACTTAAAGCAACCTGCAGCTATTTTCCAGAGCTAGCTTTCTCCCCTCCTTCTGAAAGACTGATTATCATTTCAGCAGGTAAAACTAGAATTCTGGACATTTTATACTTGCTTCCAAACAAAAGCCTTTTAATGGACACAATATCCATAACCCTGAGCACTGTTTCAGCTAGCTACTATTTCCACAAAACATAACCTTTCCACGTGGCCGAATAAGGAATGTCCTCAACTCTATAGCAGGTTTGATGATCCCCAAGACAGTAAGTACCACTTGGTCCTGTGAGTCTTTGTCCACATACTCTACATGTGGGAGAAAAATTCAAAATTTTCACCTAGACAGTGATTTGACTAGCCCAGGGAAGACACCTTCCTTTGCTATCTCCTCATCATTAGTATTTCCCACTGCTTATTATCAGCAAGGAAGCACTGATATAATTACTCACCACATGTGACATCTTGCCTGCTTACACAGGTTTCTTGTCTAAGCAAGCAAGTAGCTTGGGTAGCTTCAAATAGAAATGTTTTTAAACAATTTTTTTTATCAGCAGAGACAGCCAAAACCACCATGAGCAGCTTGCCACGATTTCCACAACACTGCAGAAGAAAACCATACTCCTTCATACTGAAACCACCTGAAAGCTCCTCATGCCAAGGAAAATAAAGGCTTAGCGGAGCTGAGCCACTGAAAAATTGAGTTTCTAGATTAATCTACACTTCCATCTCTCAAAAGGGGAGAGAACGAGAAGTGAATTCAGGAAGCAAGAACTGCAAATTCAGCAGGCAAAGTGTTATTCTTCTTAAAGCAGCTTTTAAAAAGGGAATTAAAAAAAAAAAGTCTAGAAATGGTCCTGATCCTTCATATTTACTAACAACAGTAACTAGCACTGGCTGTCACACACCTGGGCTTCCTCCCAGCACTGCAAATTTTTAAGTTAAAAATAGAAAGGTCCGGTGCTGAAGGAGACAAGGTGCCATACACTGACACGAATGGAGCTGTGATTCAAGAGAAACCTCACTGACAATTGCAAAGCTTTAAATTATTTTTTGGATGAAATTATATAGATCCATCAGGGCAGCAGAAGACCGATTGCTTTACCCAAAGCTGAGCTAACCCACTGCCTTGGGATTCCCAACTTAGTCAATGTCCAAATATTAGCAGATATGCAGAAGCAAGTTAGATAAGTGTGATCACTACCCGATATAAATTTGGGATCAGGTGCTACTATATCTCAAATAATATATACATCTACGTAAAGACTTTTTTTGTTTGTAAACTTAATTGTTAAGAATCCAAAAAATGGCAGATGGGCTATATTATAGATGAAAAAAATCACAATCTTCTTGTCTTCACTTACAGCAAGTGTTTAAATTATCCTTAAGAAAAAATGTCAAGATTTTGCGATGAATGCAACACTTCACATGACACAATGTCCATTCAGTTTTAAGTAATTTTCTGCCAAACCATACTAGAAATGTTGGGGATGCAGGCTTAACAGAATAAAAATAAAAATATTTTAAAATAATTACATTGTAGCCCCCTTTAGCATCTGATCTTTAAAGTCACTGAATATGCACTTCATGTGTCATATTATTTTGCAAGCTTCTGAAACTGCTAGGACTGCTAGAAAATTGCTCCAAGGACATCTCTGTTTGATAAATAAGGCTAGTGTAGTAAAATGTACACGTATCAGAATTAACAAAAAGTTCTATCATATAACAAAATGCAAGTAAGGAGATCTACACTATGTTCAGTCTACTAAAGAATGGTAGCATTCACTGCACCACTTACATCTCCAGGCTGTTATTTTAAAAGTTTTTATCAGAATGGTAGAAGCACTAAATAATCATCTTGGAAGGGATGTTTTAAAAATATAGCAAACTCTAGGAACTTAGAAATATATAAATCCTCTGGGTTACTGAAGCTTCATTCATTTATACTCATGATCTCAGAGAGATACAGAAATAAGAAGATACAAGGACAGGTGAAATACTTGCTTGTCCATATAACTTCCAACTGAAAAACAGCTGAAGCTTGACACAGCATGGCTTAAAGGCTTAAAGTAAGAAATATGTCTTTTTTTAATGAAACAAAGTTGGACCAAATAGTCTTGATTGCCAAGGCACTTAAAATTGTTGCTGTAGTATTACAAAAATTAAGACACCACTTAGTGATAGAAGGAAACATTTTTTAACAATGTATCATTCAGAACATATGATTAAAAATACTGGCGTCTATAAATCCCATGTATCAGAACACAGCCTCATTTTCCCACAGAAAGCTCCCTCATCACTTCAACATTAGTCAACTTCAGTTACACTGTTTATTTCATCACTCCTCATTATAACACTTCATCCAGCCAGTGTATTAGTGCAGGACACTACTATAATATAGTGTTTAATAACAGGTGTACTGAGGTCCAGTATATTCCCAGGTTATCAGAAAAGCATCTAACCACAGTTTTTATCTTCTCACTTTGTAATTCTTACCGAGTATCAACTTTACTCATCAACTCTAAGTACCAAGGCAGGACATCGTTCCACATCAATACACTAAATGTAGGTTGCTACAGGTGGGGGGGAAGTCCAGACTCCCACAACAGTCCACGTGGGTTTAGTCAGTGCACCCAGGGGGGCAGACAGAGCAAGGCCCCCTCCCCTACCACCAGCCCCCGCCTCTCTGTGGGCTGCAGTGCTCTCGAGCCCCTGCTAGCCAGTCCTAGTCCCACAGACGGTGCTGAGAGTTTTGGTACCAACATTTAGGTGACCACTGGCATAGTAGGCGACTTAATCTGGATGCGAGTCCTACCTGAGTATTTATAACTTATTCATTCAAAAGCATTCTTTTGTGCAGATGTGGAAGAATATAATTTTCTTAACGATAAGGATAATTACTTTTATCAAGCCAACTTCCAGCATTACCTTGCTTGTAATTTGAGCACTCAAACAGGAGTAATATACCATTACTTTGCCCTGAGCAGACATCAACAGCTACTACAAATTAAAAAAAAAAAAGTGTACATATATATATCTCTATATAGTCAGAATTAGCCTAGTCTGAGGTGTTTTCTGCACTAGCTTCAGACTCCTCAACAAGTGCTATGCTGCATAATGCTTTAGGTAGCCTACTGTTTTAGCCTCAATAATACTTAAAGCCTGTTCTTTGCAGCTCTCTATCCTTTTGCCCAAGCTGCTGTGGCAGCATTTTTCAGAGCCTCCATGGCAGTACAGTTCCTTTTATTGTTCTCATGCTGTTGTAGTCATTGCCTTGCACCTGCAGACCTTGGCAAAGTTGTTGTGACAAGTTCTCCTGGGAAGCAACTATCACTGACATGAGAATCACCCCCCTCCCCTCCTTTTTATTAATTCAAAGATAAGTCATTTAAATACTTGATAAATATTCTCTAATAATACAGGTGCACAAAATTTTAACAGCCACTGTGCAACATTTGCACTAGTGTTGCACACTTCAGTCATGGCTAATAGGCCATGAATAGGAACAAACAATAAGCAGGTCTTGATGAAAGGTACATAGTACTAGGTGAAAAGCATGGCAAAAAGTCACCTTCATCATCATCATCACCATGTGCTGTGCTGGAGAGACAGCCTCTATCTCTGTCTGCTCTTTAAACAGCAGGAGCTATGGAAACACATGTTCAACATTGCACTGGGAAGATATTTAGTCCTCAGCTAGAGAGCAGACCAAAGTGGACACTGTAGTAATTTAAAGTGTGGCATCAAGATACTGGCTGTCAGTCTGGCAAAATGACAAGAGAAGGTGGGAAGGGAGGGAAGTCACCTTGAAAATGAGCTCAGGCAGGGAGAGCCCAAAAGTCAAGATCACTGACAGCACATCTTCAACAGCACAGACACACCCAGGCAACAATTACATCACATAGTAAGTATCTTCACAGGCAAAAATCTGTAAGACTACAAAGTAACACAACAGTTCACACTATGACAGCATTGCTGTTACTAAATTGCCATGGCTAAAACACAAACTACTATTTCAAATCGAGTTTTGAAAACAACAAAAAAATATGCTTTACTGAAATACTGTAAGTCTTGGTGCTTCTTTATTCAGTGAGGCTATACTCCTTTTTCTAAGTGAAAGCTGACAGAAGAGAAAGTTAATTCAAAATATCATTTCTTCTGATGGTATGAGAAATTTTCTCTTCAGGAATAACACCCCCATGTGGAACAGGGGAATGGACTCAAAGAGATGCCACACCAGTGACCCATTTCACTGTGCTCTTCACACAAGAATTCTGTTAAACCTATCCCAGGAGGGGCATCACTGTACTCACAATTGCCTTGCCATTAATTCATTAAAAAAATATCTGTCCTTTCAAGTAGCTTTTTAAAGATAAAAATCATGGAATAGACAATTGCTAGAGAGAACAAATCCGCCCATGAAGCGGTCTGTAGATTGGTTTTCCCATAGTAAAACACAGCCTACAGATCCCCTCCTCCGCACCTACAGGTAGACCCTTTCCTTAGCACCATTTAACATCATGTTTTTAATGAAGACTGGTTACAACTGTTCCAAGAGCAGAGAAAGGTAACACTCCATTCTTCCTGCATGATTACTGATACTTTTTTCCTCTGTATTGAGAAGCAGGACATAAGGTCCCATGACTTCATTGTTAGGCACATTAAGTCTACTATACCAGAAGGAATTATGCAAGCTAATACAAGGGTTCAACACTGGGTCTACCTCAGCCCTTTATATTCTCAAAGGGCATAAATTTCAAGTTCACAACAGCAAATTTTCTACAACAATTAAGTAAATGCTAAACAATTTTATCAGGAAGTGGTTTACCAGTTAGTGGTAAACATTTTATCCAAGAGAACGAAAAATAGTTCTGATGTTGCCCACATCTAACGCTTATAACTTAGTAAGGTAGAATTAGGTCTTTACACAACAAAAGCTAACCCAACAAACTGATTTTACACATGCAAGAAGCCCAGCTGAGTAGAAAGGTTTGCATGAATACTCCTTCACACCTATTGCAGATCAAGGCCTCTGGACTCCTGTGAGAAGATTTCTATTAACTTTCACATGAATAAGAACACAAAAATAGCAAGCTCAAGTTCTTTAAAATAGTCTTTCCTGCTACACATTTCTTTCTTCCACTGTGTAGCTCTAAGTTTTCACTCCCCAAAGGATCCAGAAAATTCCTAACACTCAAAAAATGTGGCAGATCAGAAAAGCCAGTATTGCTTCAAACTCAAACTAACAACGAGTGTAACAGTCTGATCCCTTAAAACATGTATCCACTTTTCATCATTTACAGTTTATCACATAAATATTTTAACATACATTTATATGTTTAAAGGTCTTATTTCACATGGGACTGTTCTGTTGAAAATTAAGTTAATCATTACTTATTAAATCAGCATAATTGATTAAAGGAAATTTCTTAGAAATGGGATTAACAAAAAAAAAAAAAAAACCCAAACCACTCTTTTTTCTTCAAAAAAATGCTAGCACTGCCTTGGTATTTTGAGTAGTTCTACTGTCTTAGCCAGGATTTATAGTATGAAGAATAAAATAAAATGGTTTATTAAATCCCAAACAATCCGGAAAAATCCTTATTGTGGGGAAAGATGTATGCTATTAGCATGTTTATATTTCTATATAGCTTGAAAATGTTACAAACATGCAACAGATGGTCTGACGTTATTTGATGTTTTAGTGTTTTTAACCTATCTGCAGCCCCATCCCCTCTAAAAAAGACAGCTTAGCTGGGATTTGCCTGCAATTTATCAGTGAATTTAGATTGCATTTGTCACAGTCATAACAGCAGCTGCCTTGGCCCACCATGAGCCCTCGGTCACTTCTGAAACCATTATGTAAACCCTACACCTAGCAGTATTAAAACCTAAGTGTCATACTTCAAATGGTAAGAATATTTTAGTCAGATTTACTTAAGTGGTTATAAAAAACAGGAAGATATCCTTAATTAGCATCTAAAAGCTACAAATTATCACTGAGATATTTTTTTGCCTCTGGCTACTAATTTTATTGCAAAAACCTGTGATATATTATGCAGACTGTAAACTGTAGTGCTTCAGACACCACAATAATTTAATGAACTGTTAACTCATACATTAAAGGAACAACCAGGAACAAGAATTGCTAAAAGAACATTATTTATTGTTTTTAAGAGAAGGAAGTGAAAGCAAAGAGATTGCTATTTCTAAAAGTGATTTGGCATACTATGTGCAACTTTACACATAGATTTTATATAAAAGTATGCAGAAGTTCTAGAAGAAATGTATGAACTACATACTCTTAATGAAGCCTCCAATCAGCTTAATAGTACCGATTTCACCTTCAGACTATGCCTGTACTTGCTCTGATGAAGCTCAAAGATGGACCATACCGTTGCACTTGTTGGATCCTGGAATGCTCTAGCTGCACCATCCTGCTGGGGCTCACGTGAAGGAGCAGAGTGGCTCAATCCTGACATGTTTGAGGGTCCAGCATCAGACTTCCTGGATGAATTGACTTCTGCCTACAAGAAGTATGTATGTATGCTTCAGAGAGAAGATCAAAATTTCACCAAGAAGATTTGGCTTATTTTGGAATGTGTATTTTAATGTATGGAGAACATGAGACTTACTGAAAGTATGCTAACAGCATTTCAGTTACAAATCAACAGGTTTAAGAAATTCTCATTCTTTAGAAGTAAGACTACAGATGTGCAAACATCAGCTTAAAAAACTATTCTAAGCTTGCTTGCCCATAACAACAGGTATAACATTCAAAAAATGTACACATATATAGAGCAAAAAAGAAAATTCTTCAGAAGATTCAAGACAACATCATGTCAGAAATAATACCATTTTTAAAAACTTCCATTTCTCATGTCCTTAAGTGAATGCTGACTAGTGTTGTTATGAGTGAACTAATATAGCCTGTTTCTCAGCGTGGCTACTAGCCCCCAGTAAGTGCTAATTTGATGTGGCTATACTGGTTCTAGTACCGAAGTTGCCTCACAGCCAGAGTGGGCATATATGCATGACACTATACTGTGTCAGGCATGCATACCTCAGGTTTCCAGTATTTAAATTTTAGCACAAGCAGACCAAAAGAAAAGATACAAGTCTTAAAACATTGCTTTTGCACACATTTATAAAATAGCTAATAAACATCAATTCCCAGAATTTAGGTTTCATGGTTTTAGAAATTTGAGACAAGAGATCAGCAGTGACATGTAGAACAACATGAACAAACCTCTTGTTAAAATGGTATATATGCCTGAAACAATTCCTTGGGAAAGGAAAAGGACATAGCATCATAGTCCTGAACTGAAACACTTAAAAATTGATCTGGTCATGACCTTTGGATTTTTTTTTTTTTTTGATATGTACAAATTTTAATCAGCAAGCAAGTCACCTCCTGAGTCATGTATTGAGATCTCAATTTATTATGAAGATACCAATTCAAAATCTAATACCTGTCTTCAAATGCAGATATAAGTAGTGGTAGTAATAGTAAGAAATACAAACAGTAAGTAGTAAGAAAACAACCAGTTATGGTGATAACAAGCTGATAAGATCACAAGATAATAATATTCTTTCATTATACTATTTTCTGTGAGGAAATTAAATGCCCTGTTTCTTGATGTATATTACTTCAGAATAATCTGAAAAATATGTCACTGAGACAACCTGAAGATGAATTTAAGATTTAAAACACTTTTGTCACCTAGTCTCTCTTTTCTCCAAACCCCTACCTCTGCTTCCAGAAAAGCTGGAGAGAACACAGACGTGAAGGGAAAAAGATCAGCATAGTTAAACGTAATAATGAAGGTGAGCAGAGAATCAATTTTACTGCAAAATATACCTTGTGATGGCAATATGTAGATAAACCATATTGGTTTAGAGTAATGTGTATGCTATCGGTCATCCATTTTTTCTTTTAAGTGAAATGGAATTTATAGTATATAGCACCTAAAATGAACAAACCAATTTTCAAGTCAATGTAAAGCTGATCTAAAAAAAAATGTAATTTTCTATTAAAACAGACAGGAACAAAGGTGGAGGCTCACAGAAGCAAGAAAACTGTAATGAAGAAATGTGGTTTGTTATTTTTTTGTCCTGAATTTCATATTGCTTTCTCAATACCACACATGGGAGGTTTTTTTAAAGTTACCATTTTGCTTAAGGCTGGTATGAAATAATTTCTCAGGATCATCTAGAAAAAGGAAATCCCTTCTTTAAGGATCAAGATAACGCAGAGGTTGCTAGTATGTTTGCTAGTAGAGAGGCTCTCTCAAATTATACCCTCAATCAGCACACTGATGTTAAATCTTACCCCATAAATTGTCATAGAATATACGCAAATGATTAAAAACTTTTGTATTCCCTGCTAGTAATTCATACTATTAATTTACTACAAACATATCAATGTAATGCCTCAGCCTAACATCAATCAAACAAAAAGTCAAGCAAAGCAGAGAAGCAGGAAGCTTAAAAAACTCCCAAATCCTTAAAATTTGATTTAAGGAAGGGATGGCAGATGCAACCAGAGGACAGAACTGTTTTACCTTGTAAAACCCACAATGAACTGTAAAAGGCTATAGAAACCTGAGGCTTTTGTTCATTTTTCCCTTGCTGAGTGCTTATTCTTAGGAGGAAGAATAAAGTACGTAGATACATGGAATGCACCAATATTCTTTAGAAATTGCTGTCCCCAAGTCTTTAATTTTAAAACTGAAAAAGGTATGAAATGTATGTTAAGAATTCGCTCTTAAAAAAAAAAATAAAAAATATATACTTTGATATTTCTAGAATTTCTGCGATGAAGATTAGCAGTTAAGTAAAAATTAATCCTACACTTTTTAACCCTTATATATTCTAAAAAAGTCAGGAGCAGGCAGTCAATTGCTTCTCCAAGTAGCTCAACTTTAAAATTCTGCCCCTGTATCTCCACATCATTGTAAAGTATTTTGAGATGTTTTCATCGTAAATGTAATTATACACAGACCCCACCATGTCAACATGTCTAGATGGAAAACTGCACAGGAATATGCAGGTCCTGTAAAACTGGCAGGAATGCTCAGTAGGAGGCAATCTTATTCTCATGGCACACACACAAAAAAAAAAGTAATCTTTAGAACAGTGTTAGCAGATTACTGGTGATAAAAAGGGACATATTAGCACCCCTGACTTGGTGAGGATGTATTCTACACCAATGTCACATTGTCATAATATATTTCACTGTAGCTCTCTGCCCTCATACACAGCAGTCTTCCTTAGTGGCTGATTTAAGAGTTTAGTGGAAAACTCAGTGAAAAACGACACTGTGCATGCAAGACATGCAAACTTCTAAGGCACATATTTGGCTAAACAAACCTTACTTTCACTGAAATACAATCTAGACAACACATTTTTGGGTAACAGCAACTTCCATACCAGAGTTCAACTTTCAGTATCTTCCGCTGCAGAGTAGTTCAAAAGAATTTGCAACCATTTTTCAGTAGGAATATGTTTTATTCTTTCCATAAGCCAAAAAGGAGAAAAAAAAAAAAATCACAAAGGAAAAATAATTTAGGTTAGTTTTCCCCCAACTTTCCCTATCACTTCTATGATAAGACTAATTTTGGAGACTTTAATCAAGTTATTAGTGACTGAAAACATGGAATTAAAAGCAACATAGTTAGGCAGTTCTTACCACAGTGCTCACCATTAAAATTAAAACTAATCAATCCGTGCTTGAGATGCACAATTTATTAATTGTCACACTGGAAGAGATCCAACCCTATTTTTCTCTTTCAAACCATCCTAAAAAAATGGGTTTCTACGTAGTGAATGGTGAGGGTTTATGAAATTATGAGTATTTCCGCAATTTACAAGTTTTTCCTCAGTATTTTTTTTTTTTATTCCGCACAACAGAGATAAAAGTTTAAACAGTGACTTCACCTTGAAGCTAATTTGTCTGGCAAGCTCTTTAGCCTCCTTGTCCGCTTGGCTTGACACGCTTCCGGATGTTAGTGGTAAGAGGGCTGTCTTCATAGATGTGCCACACATTTCACAACAGAAGTCTTGTGACCTGGCCACAAATGACATAGCTCAGAATAGCATGTTCTCATCATGTTCCTGTGTGCTTGTTTAGACAAACTATTTGAAAAATAATCCATAGAAAGACAAGTGGCGTCAAGACCAGTATCTTAAAAGTACTTTCCCCTGCCCCAAATCACACTATCTTGAAAAAATATGTTGAGAATTATCTATACTACAAATAGACATTCTCTCATGTCATTTAAGAAAATAGTAACAACTGACTTACATGTTGCTATTATCTATACTTAGTTAATAATTTGTTACCATTTTAAAACTTACTTTATATCTCCAGCAAATTAAAATTGTAATTTATAAAGATTTAAATATTATTAAAAATATTAAATTGGACCCAGGAGCTTGCACCTCAAATCCAGCAGTTTCAGTTTCTGTGAAAGCATTACCTTTCCTCTCTTGCACACATAATTTGTCTATAGGGCACACTGCAGGCAGCTCTCCAAACCCATGAAAAACCACACAGCCTTGATAGTACAGAATCAAGACCAACCCACTAAACATTACCTCTCAGCAGGGATTATTAGCTTTGACTCAGGGCCATGCTAACGGGAAAGTTGCAGCTTCCAATTGGCTCAGAGTACAGACAGGATAAACTCACAACTTGCCAGCAAAATAAGGTTCTAGTTACAATCTGGAATACTTTGGAGTATTACAATCTGGAGTAACTTTGCTTGTAAGATAGGGATATGATCTTTCAGTTCAAGTACCTTCTCCTCCCCAGATGGGGAAAGGATAAAGACCAAAAACTCCCACAGGTGTCAGATTTCATTTAAGGATAATCATAGAAAAGTTGAGGTTAGGAGGGCCCTCTGGAGATCATTTAGTCCGGTCTCCTTGCTCAAAACAGGGTCAAGCAGAGCACATTGATCAGGTCTGTTTCCAGCCACATTTTTAATTCTTTAAAGGATAGAGACTCCACCACCTCTCTGAGCAACCTGTGCTAGTGATTTGATCATCTTTACCATAAAAAAGTGTTTTCTTGCATTCAGACTGTATTTTGTGGGTTTCAGTTTGTGCCCATTGCCTCTTATCTTGTCACTGGATGACACTATGAAGAGCCTGGTTCTGCCATCTTTACACCTTCCTTTCAGATATTTGTACACATGGTTAAGATCCCCTGAGCCTTCTCTTCTCCAGGCTGAACACTCTCAGCTCTCTTAAGTCTCTCAAGTCTCATTTTGTATGAAACATGTTCCAGTCCCTCAGTCACCTTTCTGGCACCTCACTGGGTTCACTCCAGGAAGCCAGTATCTTTCTTGTAACCTGACCTGGACACAGCCCCAGCCTGGACCCAGCACTCCAGTTGTCTCACCAGTGCTGAGTACAGAGGAAGGATCAGTTCCCTTGACTTGTTGGCAATGCTCTTCCTAATGCAGCCCAGGATACCATTAGCCTTCTTTGCTGTAAGGGCACGTTGCTGCCTCATGATCAGCTTGGTGTCCATCAGGACCCCCAGGTCCTCCCCTTCCAAGGTCCCTTCCAGCCGGTCAGTCGGCATTATTCATCCTCAGGGGCAGGACTTTGCTGTTCCCTTTGTTGAACTTGCTGAGATTCCTCCAGCCCGTTGAAGTTCCTCTGGATGGCAGCACAACCTTCTGGTGTATCAGCTACTCCTCCCAGTTTTGTATCATCTGCAAACCTGATGAGGGTGCACTCTGCCCCATCACCCAGGTCATTAGTGACACTGAACAGCACTGGCCCCAGTATCGACCCCTGGAGCACACCAGTAGTGAGCAGCCTGCAGCTGGACTTTCTGCTGCTTACCACAAACCTTTAAGCCAGGCAGCAAAGCCAGCTCTTAACACCCCTTACTGTCCCCACTTACCCAGGCTGTATTTCATGAGCTTGTCTATGAGGATGGTAAGGAAGACAGTGCCAAAAACCTTGCTAAAGTCAAAGATAAATAACATTCACTGCTTTCCCCTTGTTCACTAAGCTAAACATTTAATCTAATTTTAACAAATCTAATTTTAAGTTAATTTCCTAAAAATCACTCCAAAGCAGTTGCTGCAGATTTTTTTGTCGTTGTTTCATTATTATTATTTACTTAAGGGAAATGACGCATCATTGTTTTGGCTGTTTTCTCCCCTGCTTACACTTACTATCAATTCCATCATACTAATTTTCCCATCCACGCTGCAATTACAACTGTATCACAATGTTAATTACATCTCTAAGCTTGAATTTCAGACAAACCTCTAATTTAACCACACAATGGTCAAGATGATGCAAGTTCCAAGTTTGCAAAATGTTCAGGAAATAATATATGAAGCATAGAACTTTTTTTTTGTATTTGGAATAAATGCAAGAGAACAGACTGAAGTGACTTACTTTCTACTCAATGCCTTACCCTAAAAGAGAGTACATATCTATGTACCTACAGTAACAAACTTAGTGCTTACTTCTTTGCAAGAGCTCTTCTTTCTTCTGGTGTATAATCTAGAGATCCTATTGCTCCTTCACCTTTGGTTGGCATAAATCCAATAATGGCTAGTAAAGCTGTTCTTACTAAAATGGAAAAACAGAGATACAAACAAGGTTGCAGAAACAACTGTTATTTCAATCTCACTCTATACTCAGTATAGAAAAGTTGCAGTTCTGCCTGCAAAACTTCATTTTGTCCAAAGGAGCAGTCTGAATTTCATACAAGCAGCACTGGTTCTTTTGGTACACGGCAAGGCTTCTTTAGTTTTTAAACTTCACATTATAAATCAAAGGTAAGGCCTTATTCTTCCATCAGCCAACACAGAGAAGAAACAGTAAGTTGTCACAAAAATGTTACATTAATATGAAGATTCAAGTTCCAGACTTTAAAAATGGGTTCTGAAGAAAAAAAGGTGAGGCAGAATTGACATATAGATGGGGGGAAAGAAGAGAGGGATTCATAAGGCACTCTTCTTTTTGTGCATGTTTTCTATTAGACATGAATTCTGTAATTTAGTGAGCACAAGCTCAGTGGCTTTCTTTTATGCAGTGTACTGCAGAATTTGTTCCTTTTATGTCATCGTGCTGGGGAATGAGCTTAAATACTAAAAACAACTCAGAATTATCATCTCAAATATATCTTTTGATAATACATATCCTTCAATTTTGTTTTACATAGTCATGAAATTCCAGAATTCAAGACACTTTGCTAGTAGACTTGGTAAACAAGTATCACAGCAAGGTAAGTACCACAAAATAGAGATAAGATATTTACACCTCCTACTTAGAAGATAGAATTTTCTACTCTTTTAAAAAATGTAAGAGACTTTATAAAAGTTGAAGAGTGGCCTGTTAGAAAATTCCTAAGATCTTAGCAATATATTTTAAAAGTGCAACAGGTATCCAAAGAAATAATTGATGTACTGTACATGCAAAACTAAAATGATATAAACACAGAAATTTTGCCTTGGATGAATTGTGTCAACTCTCAATTTCTATGATAATGAAACTTAAAATGAAAAGGTAGAAAACATTCAGTTATTCTGAACTCAGACCACACTGTCTTTACACTTGAGTGTTCAGAAGTACAGCATCAGAATTAAAAGCTGACCACACTCACCTCTATCAATATACAAGCTGATTTTAGTGATTATACAAAACCAGGTTAAAATAATAGGATTTAAAGTATTTTCATCAGAACAATTTATAAAAAAGAAATCTAAACCCAAAGAATAATCTAAGTAGTAATAATCTAATTAGTCTGAGAATTCTTAATACTTGTGCATCCAAATAAGTGAGAGCTTACCATCACTCCGTTTCTCAACCCTTTTACCCGCATTTATTTAATACTATTCCCAAATCCTCCTACATCGCTCTTTCGTAACTCTACATTTCTCAAATTCTCCCATACTTTTACTCCCACAAAATCTGTCTCCTTTTCCATTATAAACATTCTTTGTGAGATTTTTTTTTTTTTAGTTTAAAGATCTCATTGCTTGATAGGGGTAACATTTTCCAAATTATTGTTACTTACTACTCCATGAAGGCTGCCATGTTTCAGGATGATGCCCTGAGATGCTTAAACAAATTTTCTTCCCCACTTCAAACCTGCCATTGGCCTTCAAAGGAAGAAGGAGGATATAATAAAACATACTGGAAGTTAACTCTTGGGTTTTGGTACAACTTGTTAAAATCACTATGAAGCAAATCTATATGCAAACAATACTTGATCATTTTATTACCAGCAACTTCACAAAGTTGGCACTCAGCTTTCTGAACAAAGTTGTCTGCCATCTGCCCCCATTCATGCATGAAGAAACCTTTAACTGATACCTCACATGTCCCAGTGTGACATGGTGGCTTGCCTGTTGCTCCTGTAACCCACAGACCACATGTAGAGAGCCTGAAAAGCTGTAGCTTTTCAGTTTTATGCAGGCCTTTGCCCTAAACCACAGGTCTGCCTTCCTACATGTGACCAGTGTCTCCAGCAGAGACTAAGAGCACCCATGGAGAAAACTGAAGGTTAGAACATCAGCAGTGTGATTAACCCTGGAGAAAACTTCCATTTATTAGGTGTAAAGCTTCCTGTAATTACCGAATACCAAAATTACCTTGGAAGACTTCTGGTCTTAGGTTGCCAGTATTAACTGTACTATGCCACCTTTCTTACAACAGTAACATTACCTTAAATGCCAAGAATCTCTCTCTCAGACACCTACGGTTAAATTGATCACATAAAAAGGAAAAACTAGCAAGCATGCTTACCGTCAGCAAAATAATGCTGGGTGGTTTCATGGGATACTCAGGTGGTAGTACTATTCGCCCGTGATAAATCCCTCCATCGAAATCTGAATCTGGAGGCCCTCTAACAGTAAAGTGCCATTCAAAAAGATTATCCTAGAACACCCACCACCAAATGGAGAAGAAAAAAAAAAAAAGAAGGGTATATAAAGTAAACAACTAGACACCATTTTCTTGAGCAAGGACAGGCTAAGGAAATAGCGCACAGCAGAAGTTTTAATAAGTCAAAATGAAACAGAAGGTAAGGCAACCAATACAGTATCAAGATTCTGATTAAAAGGATACAATATTGTAGCTTTCTGGTAATTTTCTTACACAAAAGCTTTGTTGTAACCCTCAAATTCATTATTCAAGCTCTTCATTTTAGTTGTATCAATTATGACAAGAGTTTTATTATCTGACAGGTGGAAAACTGCTTCAACTAAGTCTACTAAGTCAACTGGGTCTTTGACCTAGTGAGTAGTAATTTCTGGAGAACCAAGTGGAAACCCACCCCAAGAAAGAATATTAGTGACAGCCTCCCCAAAGCCCCTTCCATGCCCACGTCACAGGGACTTGACTCACATACCAGAGAATTCCCATCCTCTTTTGCTTCTCCATAAACAGTTTTGAAACAGCTACTGTGCCTTACTGCACAACCGGTACACTTCGAAATCTGGAATATTATTTTCATTGGACATATAAATAACTTCTCTTTAAGCATTATTTCTTTGGAGTTCTGTGTTTGGCTTTGTGCATCAGATCTCACAATATCCACAACTTCCTGAAAATTTACAAGCAGAACAACTCCTACTGTTAGGACAGGAAACCAAACAAGGCTTGCTGTCAGTGAACACGATCTCTCAGCTAATAAACACTGTTATCACAGGGCTGTGACCATCCACCTAGTTATAATTTTTTCAAGGATGGGAGATATGTCAACATTTCCAGCATTTCCTTTCATCTGCCACTGTTCTCTTCTCACAGAGTCACTGCTCTAACCCAGAAATGAGACCTTCATGTAAGTTACAAGTAATAGCATGAATTAAAGCTTACATTTCACCACAGGAACGGGAAATACAAGATACAGACAAAACTCAGTGGATAATAAGGTACATTTTATAGCATATAGGAACATGCTATTTTCTCTAAGCATGTTAAATGTGCTATGAATTTCTGTGAACAGCTAAATCAAACCCACAGAACACTGCTTTTTTTATTATTCCAGTGAAATCAAGAGTTTCTACTTAAGCTTGTAACCATGAAAACTTTGCTGTCCTCTCAGCCCAAAAACTTAACTGGGTGTTCAGAAGACTTCAAGAAGCTACTATTTAAGTGAAATCTAAGCAATATCTCTTACAATGCATCCAGAATTGCACCCATTTATGTTTTTCACAGGGGTTTTTTGTATGCAAATAGTGAATCCTCATAGATCACCTAGGCTTAAATTGTTGAGCAACTCAGCAGCTGAGCCAGATGTCAGGTTTGGGTGTAAAAAGGTCAGCTTAAACATAATGCATTTATGCAGTCTAAGGAAGGAGGAGGGGGAATAAACATGTTATACCTGTGCAATAAAACTACTCGGGTGCAATGTGAAACCGGTATTATGTACTTTCATTAGCAAACTGGAACTACAATACCATTAAAGTGAAATTCTGCTGTTGATTTCCATCATAGGAAAAAAAGAACTGAATCCATTTTAAAAGGTCTGCTAGTATTCTAAACATGCACATTTTAAATACATATGCATACAGAGAACTTAAAGAGTATATATTAATAACACGGCCTAACTACAAGCTTTTGCAAGCATACAGAGAAACAAACCTCCAAAGGCTGTGCATGATAATGATCTGTAGGATCCTTCAGTTCTGCAGCCTCTTTCATCAGACGTTTGACAGCTGAAAAGAGAAAGTGTAAGACATGAAAATAAAGGAAAAAAATTAATACCCATTGCATACAAAAATACATTAACATTTCTTGAAGAGATCCTTTCAGCTAACTAATCTTTTTCAGCACATCCCAGCTTCTTCACTGGAGTTAATAATCCAAGACACAATAAAAATTACTTGCACTGAATAAATCTTAAATGACTTGTAGAAGCACAAATTTATGAAAAATCTGTTGTGTGGTCATAGAATTTCTCAACACTGAACACTGGGACTAAAATAGTTTTACATTTTTAATTGCACCAAAGACATGAGGAAAAACACAGGTGTCATCAGTGGAGTTTCAGCCTTTAAATATAAGATGTGCAAGACTAATAACCTCAATATTTCATCATAAAGGACATCATGTGCATCTTTAAACAACGGCCAAAAAGCTTTATCCTGACACCTCCCATGACTATTACATGACTAGTCTCTTATTTATTCCAAAAGAGGTCACAATAAGATTTGAGAGAAACCAACACATCAGTAGTACGAGCAGATGAAGATTTATACTAGATTCAAAAATGCTTACGCCCAGCCAGAAAAATTTGCTGAGAGTCTTTATAATTTGAACCTACTACTGAGTATGGGCACACAGGTATTCTTCTCTCCTACATTCAAGACAGTCATTAGTTACCCTCTCCAATCTTCTACTCCAGAACCACCAGCATTATCTGTATTTTCTTTATCTCCCTTTTCCTTCCCCTTTATTAAGCTCTGTTACAACACTTGGCTTGCCAGGTGCCCTCATGTGAATCATGCACTAATGTCTAATAAAGAACTCAGCTCACTGACGAGCAGACCGAACATAAGAACTACAGACAAGAAATTCGAGGATGTCGCTTCATGAATAAGGTTAGGTTCTTATTCCTACTTTCTGGAAAAAGTGCAAATACCAGTTACCTCTTTAGGCAACTACAAGGGAACAGGATCCATTAGTCCATCCTCCATATTCAGTTCAAGCTATGGATGTCCCTCCCACTCATGTAATTATCTAACTACAAAGGAGAAACACTGCCCAAATTCCCTTACAGTGTAAGCATAAAGATATGGTGAAAGTCAACCATAGTTCCTCGATGTACAAAGCCAGGCACCACTAGCAGACTGTAGGCTGTATGGCATGCTCAGACTCCAGGGCTTTACTCACTTCCATGACGCTGTGAGGGAAGCCACTCTAACCTTCCCGCAGAGGAATTTTTATTTCAGTCTACTGTGAGAAGTTCTTTTCCTCCTTCACACTTCCTGACAGCTATAAACAACAGCTCAAAGTCTGAGAATTTCACTTCTTAGAACCCAAAAAGCAAACAGACTATGCAGAAATTTTCTGCTGCCAGTTTTCACAATTCTGTGGCTGCCTGGGGGAGGTGTCAATTAAACACCCTGCAAAGCCCACAAGGTCATGTCACAGGCAGCAGCATCCAGGCCCCACTGAAAAACAGTTTGTCTCTTTCATCTGCATTAAGGTTTACCAGTTCATTAGCAAGGAATAATAAGAAAACCAGCCTGGTCCAGAAAAGGCTTCAGACCCAGCATTTCTTCACAGCCAACAAGCCTGGACACTTGCCTTCACAAGAAGCGTGGCAAGCACTAGGATGAGTTAATTCAGGAGCAAACACCCCACGAAGCAAAAGGGTAACCATGAGAAAACTAAGAACATACATAATGAAGCCTAACAAAGATAGAACAGTCATGGACAAGGCAGACAACTCTGTTACTGAGATTTCCCAGATAAGGGACCAAGACAGAAAAGAAATACCGTCCCCCTATATCAGCACCATGTGCAGTTACCTGTGTTAACTGAGGGTATTAGAGAAAAACAAGTATTTCAAGACCATACTACAAAAGTCTGCTGACACCCAGAGAAAGATTTGTACCCAGGCTACAACTGGGTGCAGGATCTTTGGCAGTGCACATCGGCACTTTGGATTTGTCCCAGAAGAAACAGCCTTTTTACCTCTTCAGCTTCAAGGCTGTCCTCTGGGTGCTGAGTGCCAGCAGCTGGCAGGCAGAAACAGAGAAACCAAGGGTTTGCACTGAGAAGTAACAGAGAGAGCAGCCAGGTGGGGACAACAAGCAGGTAAGCTCCTGTTAAGTAGAATTTAAAATTGAAGCACTTTACAGCATGCTTTTTTAACATATTTTTGTATTTAATTAACAGTGACACTTTATGTATTTTTTCATAGCATTACTCTATTATCAAGACAGACTACAGATACTTTAAGAAGCCAGCATAAAATATGCTGAAATAATATGAAATATTATTCCACTCTTGAAGCATGAAATAGAGCAAAATATGTAATTTAGCTTTTGTATTCCACAGAGATAATTTTTGTACAAGAAGTTTTCAGTATTAAGCAACCTGGGATATCTTAAGAAAAAGAAGCACATGTATACAAAGAAAGGCTGAGAGAATTGGGGTTGTTCAGCCTGGAGAAGAGAAGGCTCCGGGGAGACCTTACTGTGGCCTTTCAATACTTACAAGAGGCTTACAGGAAAGACAGAAAGAGACCACAGCCTGTATTGACAGGACAAGGGGCAATGATTTTAAACTGAAGGAGGGTAGGTTTAGATTGGACATAAGGAAAAAATCCTTTATGATGAGGGTGGTGAGACACTGGAAGAGGTTGCCCAGAGCAGCTGTGGCTGCCCCCTCCCTGGAAGGGTTCAAGGCCAGGCTGGACGGGGCTGGGAGCAACTTGATCTAGTGGAAGGTGTCCCTGTCCCTGGCAGGGGGGTTGGAACTAGATGATCTTTGAAGGTCCCTCATAACCCAAACCATTCTGTGGTTCTGCTTCCACACTGCTGAAAAATGTCAACTGACAGGCTGCCAAGCCTGGACTGATAAAGGTTCATTCTGAGAATGTGTGACCCGGTGAAGAAAGTGCCGAATTGTTTCTTCTGTCAGCATAGCTGCAGTATGCATGAACACAAGTCCCTCCTTTGGCCAGTGAAAACTGAATTTGAAAAAACAAATGTAATTCACAAAGTCCGCCTGCAACAAGTACATGACATTCTTATCCAAACTTCATTAAAAAGAGTTTTGATGCAAAATATGGTTTTTCAACCCACTTAAAAATCACACTGAGTCATCTGAGCAAATGTTTGGCAATGGCAAACCTGAAAAATGAGAACAGTTTAGGCCCATTCAAAATAAAGAACTGCAAACTGTCGATAAAGTCAAAAAGTATCACTAATTCAGCCAGAAAAAAAAAAAATTAAATCAAGACATTCAATTTGTTGAAGACAGGTTTTAGAGACACCATTATCAAAGTATTTTTTAATGTGGCATTACTATCAGCATGATAAATAACCATGCTTTCACAGGTCTATGCGGCAACAATTTATCAGAATGTTCATTGAAATTAAACACTGAGGAAATTAAGTTTCTGGGTAACTCCAGAGAGTGAAGGAGAGTTCCTGCCCTGGCAGGAGTTGCAGGAGCTCTCCACGGCTCTGGGGAGAAAGGGAAAGAGCAGGTGCTATGGGCCAGAGGATCTGCCTGATAACATGCCTCTTGTATTACACTGAACTTACAGAATTTTACTGAAAAGCAAAATGTGGATGTTAAAAATCTGAGAATCAAATTTAAAGCCACCAGTTTGCTTTAGGATTGAGCAGCGGTGGAATAATACAATTAATGAGCAACATTTATGTAATGTATGCATGTGTAGATTTCTGTCAAAAAACATGTCTTGGTCAAATCCTACTTCTTATTAACCTTTACCTTAAGTTATCCTGAAATTTCTGTTCAACACAACTACTTCTGTTGGATATATCTTGAAGTCACATTCAACTACTCCTGCTACCACACCTGACTAGACTAGTCTGCGCCTTTTGGTCCAGGAAACCCTTATGTACACAAAAAATGCAAGTGATCAGTCTTTATAAATGTCAGTATTACTGCTTAAAGACACAAGAGAATTTGAACATCAGTGGTGTTCTCTTAGTAAAATATTTTGCCTCATTTTTAAAAAATATGCTATTGTGAAAATAAAAATAGTCTTAAAATACAGCAATTATATTTAGCCTTACAGAGCTTTGTTTTGTTAGTAGTTGTGCTGGTTTTGGCTCAAATAAAGTTAATTTTCTTCACAAATAGCTAGTACGGGGCTATGTTTTGGATTTGTGCTGAAAACAGTGCTGATAATAAAGGGATGTTTTTGTTACTGCTGAGCACTGCTTGAGCTGTGACCTGTGGATGAGTCCACAAGGGAGCAGGACACTCTGAAGCATCTGTGGCTGTGGATAAATCCACACCAGAGCAGGTACATCTTGAGGCGTCTGTGGCCGTGGCTATGTCTGTGCTGCAACAGGTACACCTCTGAAGGGACTGTGGCCCAAGGGTAAGTCCACGCTGCAGAAGGTACACCTCGAAGCATCTGTGGGTGTAGATAAATCCATGCTGCAGCACAGACACCTTGAAGCATCAGTGACTGTGCACGAGGTCATAATAGAGCGCCTCAAAGAACGTGGCCGTGGATAAACCCACAGCAGAGCAGGGACACCCCTAAGGGACTGCAGGGGGTGTGTAAATCCAAGCTGGAGCAGGGCAAGGGGAGGAGCTCACTGCAATGATAAACCAAATAGTCTGGTCCAAAGGGACCAGGGTGGAGATTGCAGTGGAAATACATTTAAATTGTCGTAGCCCATGATTTGAATCGCATGTTATAGGAATTACTATAGCAAGAACAGCCTGAACCAGTGGAGGAAAAGTCTTAAAAAAAGCAATGTAAGTGCAGCAGTGACCTGACCTGAGCTGGTTTTTGTGGCCAATAACTCCACACAACCCACCACCTCTCCTGTCCTGCCTAACCACCGTAACTGATGGAGCTCAAAGTCATGGATTAAATTAACTCAACGGACATTTTAAAGACATTTTACAGGGGTGGTCCATAGTCTAAGGGAATGATATCTGTGCAATATATCAAAGGATGAGAAGGGGGGAGTGGTTAATGAGGTTCTATTGGATA